CATAACCATAACCATAACCTAACCCCTAACCCCTAACCTTTAACCGTAACCCTATACCCTAACCCTTAACCCTAACCTTTAAGCTTAACCCTAATCTTAACCCTAACCTTTAACCGTAACCCTAAGATCTAAAAAAAAGTTCTATACGGCATGAATAAGGGAATTCAAGAATCACAGAAAAATGCCTCGAGCTGATTGGTCAGAGTACGCACAGCCTTCATATGGCTATTTTTAGTAAAGTACGAATAGCCGCAGCCATCTAAAAACTTTTGAAATTACATGGTTACGTATAAATACCCTAACCCTTACTCTTAACTCCTTACCCCTAACCCAAACCCTAACCATTAAACGCAACACCTCAGTGTTTGACCATCACAACCTATCCGCACTGAGGTAATGTTACATAAAAATAAGATAATTTCTTTAGGCAGCAGTTGTTTAATTTTGGAGGTCTCTCGTAGAAGAGTGGCTGTCGCCAGCTAACGAGCCTCATCTATCCGAGGGTTCCAACTCGTGACTTTTCCGTTTAGCTTTACCGACTACACCACTCAGACCCCTACCCCCTTTTTTTATTGCATAAGATATCTAGGGACACCCCCACACACACACACACACGCACACACTTAAGTACAAATAAAGTAAGCTTCTATAAACATGTGATACTTCAAAATAGATAATTTAATTGTTATTTTTAATGAGAGAATAAATGGCATATAAAGCCTATAAGGGCCTTACCAATAGAGCAATGTTAAGCAACATTACTCTATACTAACATCTAACTTAAAGTAACAAAAGGGCAAGCCTACCTCATTCGTGTTGAATTTGAATAATAGTAATATGTGCATGATGATAGAAATATATGAAATCAGCGTATCAAGCATGAACACACAGCAACTAGTCTTACAGATCTCATTAAGTAAAGAGTTACATTTTTAAATCTTCATTCATCTCAGTGACAATTTCAGAGAAACAGATTGCATTTATATTTAGAATCTATCAAGTTTAGAAAACAATTTATTAAAATGGCAACAAGTGCATTAATTACAAAAAATAAATTAGTTAAGTGGTAAATTGAAAAAAACAACAACCAAAAAACACGAATTTAGTCTAAGAAATATCTACTTTATGAGAGTAAGACTCTTTTAGTCAAAATAAATAATTGCCGTACGCTGAGTAGCCAATAAATAATTATTCATCACTTTATATACATAGGGGTCGTCCATAAATGACGTCACACTCGTAAGGGGGAGGGGGGTCCGTAATTTTGTGACGGTGTGTGATGAGGGGGAGGGGGGTGTTCAGATGGTGTGACGTCACACTTTTGAGTTATAAAAAAGCAACGTTAGAAAACGACTTTCGCCGTTATTTCACGTTTTAGAAAACTGTTTTTAATAAATTGTAGGCCTAATAGGAATTGAATAAAATACTCTATGTTGACAGCGTTTTTAGAAAAAATATCAATGTTTTAAGAGAAATTAAACAGCAATTTTGCGGGGGGGGGGGGGTGTTTGAGGCTGAGGTGTGACGTCATTTTAGGGGGGGGGGGGGGTGGGTCTGGCTTTTTGTGACAATGTGTGACGGAGGGGAGGGGGGAGGTAAAAACATCCCAAAAAAGCGTGACGTCATTTATGGATGACCCCATAGATGGATATATATATATATATATATATATATATATATATATATATATATATATATATATATATATATATATATATATATATATATAATTTTATTTTTAATTGATTTATTTTTATAAATATTCGGAAAAACATGTAACATCAGTGATTCCCGTTCTTATAACTTGTTCTCAAAGAAAAATATTCTGACATTTCATTATCTAAAACAGTGGCAGGGTCCTATTTTACAACTATATTTTATAAAATTGTACAGGACAGTTTGAACGGTCGGATGATGGGGTAAGGAAATAGTTTTAAGACATAGTGTTAGAGTCTAGGGTTAGGCCTTGATGAATCCCGAGGGTTAGTGTTAGCGTCTAGGGTTAGGGTCTAGGGTTAGGGTTAGGGTCTAGGGTTAGGCCTTGAATCCCGAGATAAATTTTTTCATTAATTCCCTTGTTTTCTATTTCTCTGGAACCTATATGATGGGGCGCATTTGTCACTGGTCTTTTAGATGGGACAATTTTGTCGAAAAAAAATACCAGAGAATGTAAAGTTATTCTATATAAATAACTTTTAAATGAAGATCAAAATGTATTTGTCGGCTACGTTTACAATAAAGATAATAACGGTCTATAAATAGACAAATCTGGCGTTTTAAATAAACCACAACATTTTTTTACATAATTAAAACTGACACTTTAACCTTAACACTAAACATAGAAAACTAAAACATATTTTGAAATATGTTTAATTTTTTGTCTTAGACGTGTTCCCTAATCAAACACAGGAGCCACCAAATGTGTCTGTGTATTTTGCACCCCAATCGGCGACAAAAGTGCGCTACATTTCGGGGGAGCAGTCTGTTTATCATTTGCGCCGACAACATCTTAGGCTAGAGACTGCCTAAAATAAAGAACGATTAAGATGCTGTATCTTGAAACAATAACAATCATAACAAGTGTATACATTTTTAAAAAAATGGGTAAACGTAGGCATTTGTAAAATAATATTTATGGACGGATTAGGATTAGGGTTAGGATTAGGGTTTTTGGATTGACTGGAGTAGCTCGCCAAAGGGCTGTCCGAAAAAATGTCCTCACATGGGCGGTTAGCGTTGAAAAAGGAAATAACAAAACAGATTAGATTCGCTTTTAGGGCAGTTCTAGATAAACACCGTCACTAATGCACACAAAAATCACGAGCGAACCCCGCAACAAATTCAATGCACGCACGCAACCTTGAGGGTCAGTGTCTACAACAACCTTGAGGGTCAGTGTCTACAACAACCTTGAGGGTCAGTGTCTACAACAACCTTGAGGGTCAGTGTCTACAACAACCTTGAGGGTCAGTGTCTACAACAACCTTGAGGGTCAGTGTCTACAACAACCTTGAGGGTCAGTGTCTACAACAACCTTGAGGGTCAGTGTCTACAACAACCTTGAGGGTCAGTGTCTACAACAACCTTGAGGGTCAGTGTCTACAGAAACACTGATCTTTTCTCGCAAATTATTTATGACATGTCCCAATTTTACCTTCATCAATAAAAACGAAAGGTACATTTCGTATCTCCTTATTCGAATTTTTTGTTTGATGGTGCTGAGGGGTGAGGGGGGGGCGGGACTTAACTGGAAAATATTCAAATTTTTTTTTAAAACAAACAAAAATATATTTTCATTGTTTGTTTTTTTAAATATGTGGCCCATGTCATTTATATAAAAACAATATCAGTTCTGTAATGAAGTGGTTTAAGCCAATACCAAGTCAGCACACCTATATAGGCCCAACATTGGCTAAACATTGGTTACATCATGGTGCAACATTGGCTTAACCTTGGCTAAACATTGGTTACATCATGGTGCAACATTGGCTTAACCTTGGCTAAACATTGGTTACATCGTGGTGCAACATTGGCTTAACCTTGGCTAAACATTGGTTACATCGTGGTGCAACATTGGCTTAACCTTGGCTAAACATTGGTTACATCGTGGTGCAACATTGGCTTAACCTTGGCTAAACATTGGTTACATCGTGGTGCAACATTGGCTTAACCTTGGCTAAACATTGGATACATCGTGGTGCAACATTGGCTTAACCTTGGCCAAACATTGGTAGTGATATTGGCTCAATGTTAAGATAGAACACAGTTTTGTCTTTATTTAATCACAAATTAATGGAAAGATTTTTAAAATTTATGACAAGTATGTTGTCTAGAAGTTATATTTTTTCATAGAGGGTTTCTCTTTTAAGATTAGTAATAAAGTGACTTACTATGGATAATGAACAGTTATCAACAAACTTTGCTAATTGTCCACACATTTTTAAAGAAAATATTAGAAATCTAAAAATAAATAACTGTGGTACTCTTACTTGGATACGAAAGTCAAAAGCGAAAAGTTAATTTGCAAGTAAGAAACAAATGACCATTTGGTCAAATATTAAAAATTCTTTAAAAAAGAAAAATACATACTTATGAATAATGACACATAACATATAACCCTTATATAAAAAAAAAATAAAATGCATACAGACACAAAAGAAATATATCAGAAAATTATCACAAAGTATTCATTTAGTTAAAAATCATGTGACCTGTTTTAGTATGTCCAAGGTTTAGTAACTCACTAGTATGTCCAAACTATAACTCTAAACTCCAACCCTAATGCAAGATTTTATCATCATACAAGTAATACCTTGAGTTTTGGTTACTACAAAAATATTATGAATGTATAATAAAATGAAACTGGCCAAGCTTATATATATATATATATATATATATATATATATATATATATATATATATATATATATATATATATATATATATATATATATATATATATATATATATATTTATTTATTTATTTATTTTTTATTTATTTTTAGGAATTAGGTTTATGTTTTGTTCAGATCACACTTTACATAAGGTTAATGAACAAGGCAAGTGACTTATAACCATCCACTTTTATCACATGCTAGCTGCGCAGCTTAAAATATAAAATGGAGGTTGACCAGTATGTTACAGTACTCAATCCAATATGAAATTAAATTTATAAGATTCAATTTTATAAAGTTTTTCAAATAAACTTGTACAATGAAATGCTAGAGAAAAAATGAAATCCTAAGGACAGAATATTTTATATACAATGGAGACATAAATGTATTAATAAATAGTTGGTCACAATTATTTAAAAAAACATTGTTTCAGGCATACAAACTTTACATTTTAAAACAATTTAAAAAAATAAAAAATAAAAAAAAATATATATATATATATATATATATATATATATATATATATATATATATATATATATATATATATATATATATATATATATATATATATATATATATATACATACATTTATTTAACAGCCAACATTTTAATAATTGATAATATAAACCAGTTATGAAAAAAATTCCCAAACTATTAGAATAGGCTTTAAAAGACACATTTGAAGACTTACATTAAACACACTAGACAGTGACCAGCAACTAACAAACATAATATCAATAGACCTGATGTCAAGGGTGTCTTTATAAAACTTTGGAAAAGATTTAGAGATCTAGATATGTATAAAAATTGGACATTTAATTAAATTAAAATCTTCAAAATGTAAATGTATTAAAAAAATTGGACATTTTATTTTATCACAGTTAGAAGTTGAATGTACATTCCGCTCCACCCCTCCAACATATACAACACAACTGGCAATAAGTTTTGGTGGCAACAAAACTCTTGAGTTGATAAATACATTCATTAGACTTATTATGACAAAACGCTCATACAGAAATGCTGTTTTTTTATTATCACAGTTTCATCATGATCAACTTAGATGCTCAGATCGCTTATATTTGCACATTTCTAAATAAAATTAAATCTAGTTGCAAGAACTGTGATAAATGTTGCTGGATTTTTATATTTTAAAATTTCCTGAAACTTGTCTGTGTGAAAGAGATATGCTTCCATCTGATAAATTTTATTTTTAGAAACAAAACTATGTATTGTCTTATATTAAAATTTTTATAAAAGTAAATAGCTAAACTCAACACACATAATCCTAATCGAACACACATAATCCTATTCGAACACACATAATCCTAACTCTAGTTGGATGAGTTGATTGAGAGGAGTTGATAAAGAAACGAGTTTTAAATGTGGGCAACAAGTTCTGACAACATTTGTGGATAGTTCTGGTCTATGCTGAGAGATGGCAAAGTCACAGTTCTGTCCCCTTCTTTAAAAGTGATCAGCTGTATGGAGGAATTACCTCCACCTGAGTGTCTTGGTCCTTCTAGATTGAGTTGAGGGAAGATTTTTTCTGTTACTGCCTCCACCATAAAAGGATCATTTCCTAAAAGTAAACCCTTTGTGTTGCTTTTGGAGACCAACTTGCGAACTCTAGAGAAAAAAAGCTTTCGTTGTAAGAATCATTGACACAATATTCACACTAAGTCAGACGGCCCTATATGACTTCACACATAAAAACTGATTTTTAAAGAGGGATTTTGTACTTTTTAATTAGCTTAATTAGACGTCACACATTCTGCCCCCTGTCATCCCTTCTCTCTCCCTCATTCCAAGGAGTTTGACATGTATCAACTACCCCCACCCCCAATATGACATGTATCAACTACCCCCACCCCCAATATGACATGTAACAACTACCCCCACCCCCAATATGACATGTAACAACTACCCCCACCCCCAATATGACATGTATCAACTACCCACACCCCCAATATGACATGTATCAACTACCCCCACCCCCATTATGACATGTATCAACTACCCCCACCCCCAACATGACATGTATCAACTACCCCCACCCCCAACACGACATGTATGAACTACCCCCACCCCCATTATGACATGTATCAACTACCCCCACCCCCAACATGACATGTATCAACTACCCCCACCCCCAACATGACATGTATGAACTACCTTCACCCCCAATATGACATATATCAACTACCCCCACCCCCAATATGACATGTATCAACTACCCCCACCCCCAATATGACATGTATCAACTACCCCCACCCCCAATATGACATGTATCAACTACCCCCACCCCCAATATGACATGTATCAACTACCCCCACCCCCAATATGACATGTATCAACTACCCCCACCCCTAATATGACATGTATCAACTACCCTCACCCCCAATTTGACATGTATCAACTACCCTGACCCCCAATATGACATGTATCAACTACCCTCACCCCCAATTTGACATGTATCAACTACCCCCACCCCCAATATGACATGTATCATCTACCCCCACCCCCAATATGACATGTATCAACTACCCCCACCCCCAATATGACATGTATCAACTACCCCCACCCCCAATATGACATGTATCAACCACCCCCACCCCCAATATTACAGCTGGATAACCATGAGGAGTGTGTGTGCGTGGGAGGGGGATTAAGGAAAGTAAGTGGTTTCATTTCCTCTCATTTGTTAGCGTTAGGGTTAGGGTGTATTTCAGACAAAAGGAGACACAAGTCGTTGAGGTGAAACCAAATGTGTTTCATCTTCTCACTGACAATGTCAATACAACACTTCTACCTAACTTCTCACTGACAATGTCAATACAACACTTCTACCTAACCTCTCACTGACAATGTCAATACAACACTTCTACCTAACCTCTCACTGACAATGTCAATACAACACTTCTACCTAACCTCTCACTGACAATGTCAATACAACACTTCTACCTAACCTCTCACTGACAATGACAAAACAACACTTCTACCTAACCTCTTACTGACAATGTCAATACAACACTTCTACCTAACCTCTTCACAACCAAGGACTGCTGCTCACATCCATCGTTATACAACTCCTTACTCTTGTTCACTACACACCCACTGTCACTCAACCAGTCGCTTCCCTTGTTACACTTGTTCACTCCGTACAACAACATACACGGTCACTCCGTACAACAACATACACGGTCACTCTGTACAACAACATACACGTTCACTCCGTACAACAACATACACGTTCACTCCATACGACAACATACACGGTCACTCCGTACAACAACATACACGCCAACAAATCCAGCCAGACTAGACACTATCTCAGAATACAACAGTAAGGGTGTACACACACACACAGTTTACTTTGTTCCACATACACACATTTCATTATGCATTTCACATAAGCACATCATACACACCTTTCAAACATTTTACATAAGCACATCATACAACCTTTCAAACATTTTACATAAGCACATCATACACACCTTTCAAACATTTCACATAAGCACATCATACACACATTTCAAACATTTCACATAAGCACATCATACACACCTTTCAAACATTTTACATAAGCACATCATACACACCTTTCAAACGTTTTACATAAGCACATCATACACACCTTTCAAACATTTCACATAAGCACATCATACACACCTTTCAAACATTTTACATAAGCACATCATACACACCTTTCAAACATTTCACATAAGCACATCATACACACCTTTCAAACATTTTACATAAGCACATCATACACACCTTTCAAACGTTTTACATAAGCACATCATACACACCTTTCAAACATTTTACATAAGCACATCATACACACCTTTCAAACATTTTACATAAGCACATCATACACACCTTTCAAACATTTTACATAAGCACATCATACACACCTTTCAAACATTTTACATAAGCACATCATACACACCTTTCAAACATTTTACATAAGCACATCATACACACCTTTCAAACATTTTACATAAGCACATCATACACACCTTTCAAACATTTTACATAAGCACATCATACACACCTTTCAAACATTTTACATAAGCACATAACCTTTCAAACATTTGACATAAGCACATCATACACACTTTTCAAACATTTTACATAAGCACATCATACACACCTTTCAAACATTTTACATAAGCACATAACCTTTCAAACATTTGACATTAGCAAATCATACACACTTTTCAAAAATTTTACATAAGCACATCATACACACCTTTCATTCATTTGACATTAGCACATCATACACACTTTTCAAACATTTTACATAAGCACATCATACACACCTTTCAAACATTTTACATAAGCACATCATACACACCTTTCAAACATTTCACATAAGCACATCATACACACCTTTCAAACGTTTTACATAAGCACATCATACACACTTTTCAAACATTTTACATAAGCACATAACCTTTCAAACATTTGACATAAGCACATCATACACACTTTTCAAACATTTTACATAAGCACATCATACACACCTTTTAAACATTTTACATAAGCACATAACCTTTCAAACATTTGACATTAGCAAATCATACACACTTTTCAAACATTTTACATAAGCACATCATACACACCTTTCATTCATTTGACATTAGCACATCATACACACTTTTCAAACATTTTACATAAGCACATCATACACACCTTTCAAACATTTTACATAAGCACATCATACACACCTTTCAAACATTTCACATAAGCACATCATACACACCTTTCAAACATTTTACATAAGCACATCATACACACCTTTCAAACATTTTACATAAGCACATAACCTTTCAAACATTTGACATTAGCACATCATACACACCTTTCAAACATTTGACATGAGCACATCATACACACCTTTCAAACATTTGACATTAGCACATCATACACACCTTTCAAACATTTTACATAAGCACATCATACACACCTTTCAAACATTTGACATTAGCACATCATTCTAATCAGGGTAAGTCACATGACTTACTTTTGAGCTGTCCTAACTTTGGTGTGCAGCTTTTTCTCCTCGCCAATCCCCTCAAACAATTTAAACAAAAGATCTGTGTTAGCAACTGTCAGTTTCCTCTCAGGAGTTTGGTGAGACTTTTCTGGAGGTGTCACAGGTCGAATTTCTGTAAATAAATATATTTTACACAAGTTAGAACAACGTCTGTAAAAGTTCCCTTTTCAAACCTGATGGTCTATAGGGCAAGTGAGTTCACTTGTTTCTGTGACCGCTGCATATGAAGAGATAGTGTGGTCACCACTATGCCCAGCCGCCTTACTTTCCCTAACGTGAGTTAGGTACCTATCAGAGCTGGGTGGACTCAGGGACTGGCTACTGACTAGAACCCGGATTCGAACTCGAGACTTAGGGGTTAGCAGTTCAGCTCTCTACTGCTAGACCACTCCGTCCCTTAAGGGACAACGTCTGTAAATAAATGTATTTCACACAAGTTAGAACAACATCTGTAAATAAATGTATTTCACACAAGTTAGAACAACATCTGTAAATAAATGTATTTTACACAAGATAGAACAATGTCTATAAAGAAATGTATTTCACACATCGTAGAAAAATGTCTGTAAATAAATGTATTTCACACAAGTTAGAACCATGTCTATAAAGAAATGTATTTCACACATCGTAGAAAAATGTCTGTAAATAAATGTATTTCACACAAGTTAGAACAACATCCGTAAATAAATGTATTTCACACATCGTAGAAAAATGTCTGTAAATAAATGTATTTCACACAAGTTAGAACAACATCTGTAAATAAATGTATTTCACACAAGATAGAACAATGTCTATAAAGAAATGAATTTCACACATCGTAGAACAACATCTGTAAATAAATGTATTTCACACATCGTAGAACAACATCTGTAAATAAATGTATTTCACACATCGTAGAACAACATCTGTAAATAAATGTATTTCACACAAGATAGAACAACATCCGTAAATAAATGTATTTCACACATCGTAGAACACAAACCTGTTGCCTAATGTGGACCATAGAACGAGAGGGCTGAAAGGAGAGGAGGGGAGTAATAGTGTGGTATGGACAGGTCATAGGGGTTTATTTTCCAGTCAAGTTCAGCTCTAAATCAATCCCCAGGCTATTCCAGCTTGACCACAAGCTGTTGTTGCTTATGCAAGTAGAACTATACACATCATTCACTAGACGTCACACTAGACCAGTGGTTCCCAAACTTTTTCGAGTGGCGACCCCCTTTTATAAAAAGTAAGTGACCCGCGACCCCCATAGAATTAAAAAGCCGAAATTAGTATGGAAATTAATAAGCACTAAAATAAGATTTTCTAGTAGACTTTCAATATGAACTACTCTTGATAACTGTTTTAACAGCATGAGTAAAATTGCATACTATTCACTAAACCTTCGTGGTTAAGTTTTTAATTTAAACATTTTTTTTGTTAACGCCAACCTATGTCATTATAATTATCTTAATTTCGTTTTTAATCGAAGAAAATATATTCTCGAAAAGTCAATCAATTAGACGTTTGGGTATGAATGGTGAATACTACACCAAAAGTGTGTCTGCAGTTTTTCATCTTACTCGGAATCATTCTGCAAATCAAAGAATTCATCTTGTAATTCATCGGAAATGCTAGCAACATCAAGGGAAGAAGAGAATGGGTAATGCGTAAATGCAGATTCTTCTTTTTTCAGCTCAGAGAAATAGCGATGCAGTTCGTTTTCAAGAGATTCAAGATGCCCAGAAATCGCTTCTTTCAAAATTTTAATTATCTTACAATCAGATTCATCTACCACACCGCAGAGTTTCTCAAATTTACAATAATTCCAAGATTTATTTTCTTTACCGATTTTGCAGCTTTGATAAAAATGCCCCGAGATTATCATGGAAAGTTATAATATTCGTTCATTTTCCCTGAAGCTTCAGGTTAAGCTTATCTTGATGTTCGAACACATCTACTAGGTATGATACTCTCTCCAACTACTCTATGTCGTTTTAAGTATACCAAAATGTCTTGTTTCCTTTGCACTTCCAAGAACAATTTGATTTCAGATTTCAATTCAAAAATACAATTTACATTTCGTTTGACAGCCAGCGTACTGTAGTGTAGAAGAGCAGAACCTCGTGATCTATATTAATGTTTTTGCTCATTTCTTTGAAGGCTCCAGATTTTATATAATTTACGACTTATACTATAATTTACGACTTATACTAGCAATGGACTCTTGATGTCGATTGGCTAGGGCAGTGGTTAGGGAGCTAAATCTTTTCTGTTTACTGAAAGCCCGATTTTGGGCTAAACATAGATGGCGCACCATCCGTACAAACCCCCACAGCCGTTCTAACCCATTTTAATCATCCAGTTTCAAAAAAAGGTATTTATTTTCTCCATGCTATCTTCACAAAAGAGCAACTCTTCTTTGCTATCATCCGCACGAATATAGACACAGACCAGCAACTGCGAACACGAACTCGCGTCTGTTGATTTATCAACTTGAAAAGCAAACAATGGTGAAAGCTGAATTTCTATAAAAATGTGTTATTTAACATTTACGCACATGCAGCGTTTGATGAGATTTTCTCCTATTGTTTTTTTTTTTTTTGCTTGGCATTTTCTATCGCGACTTCATTTGATGCTTGCACTAATGCTGTGTGAAAACTTCCTGTTCGATCAAGTCTCTGGCGTTTGCAACTAGCTTCTTACCGATGAAAGAACTCCATATATTTTTGGTGTGTTCCGAATGACTAGTCTCAAATGACGTTTTAGTTTTGAAGATTTCATAGATTCGTGACTGAGAACAACTTTGTACAAAGCGCTTTGTTTCTTCTATTACATTTCCAGTGATGTTAATGAAGCCGAATTTCAAAAATTCTTCTAAATATTTATGTTTTGTTTCAAATTACTAAGGTTTAGTATACCAGTTGGCGACCCCCCAGAAAGACCGCGACCCCCAGGTTCGGAACCCGTGCACTAGCCCAACTAGAAAGAAAACAAATGTGAAGGCATCAATACAATATTATTAGCATGACCGATCATGTGACCAATCACGTTATCAACTTGTAAAGGCAACATAGAAAAGTGTTCCCTTGTTACAAGAGAATAAAAACAGCTTAAACAGGTTTCATAACCACACTAGTACATTTAAATATCCCCCTACTACCCGGCCATACATTTGGAAGACTTTACAAATCAGAACTACAATTTTGATGGCCCCACACTACCTGGCCATTCAGTTTGAAGCTCTCAGAAATCAAAGTTACAATTTAGAAATCAGATTCAGAATTATGATATTTAACAGCTTACCCATTAGGCCATCATCCGATTCTTTGTTGGTCAATGGGGGAAGAATAGGGAATAATGTGGCAGGAGAGACCTGATGGGCCACATTTGGTTGTTGCCAGAAAGATTGTGGGAGAGCTCGCAATTTCATGGGGAGTGGATCTGAAACATACAAAATTTTCTGGTAAAAGAAGACAGCACTTTGTATAAAATAAAATGTTTGATGGGTCATGCATGACAAAAGTTATTGAAATGTGTAGATAATAAAAAAAAGTGACACACAGACATATGGACGAAAATACAAAACAAATTTATAAAACTGACTTAGTGAGTCGCGATTTGTAAAAAATCTCTATTTCGATTTTTTGCACAATTACAATACTTTCACTTTACTCTGTAGGCCTATACGAGGAAGTAAAAAATTGTGAGTCCACGAAACTTGAAAGCCATTTATTGGGATATTGGAAAAATAAAAAATAAAAAATAGTGGAGTCGGAACAGTCTGGTTCTAAGTAGCCAATATATATATATATATATATATATATATATATATATATATATATATATATATATACATATATATATATATATATATATATATATATATATATATATATATATATATATATATATATATATGTGTGTGTGTGTGTGTGTGTGTGTGTGTGTATAGTGTGCCCATCCGCGTGTTGCCGCGGTGTTAGAAGGAAGTCTGAAGAAATATATTAGGAGGGTTCCATCAATGCGTTACCAATCCTATATTCTTAGACGTGTGATCTTGTTTTCTAAAACTGAGTTATTTAAATGTAAACAATATATATATATATATATTAGGGCACGGGCTTACTACTCATGAAAGTCTTGAATGCACATTAATCACTCATGTAATAGTGAGTTAAAATACACTTCATACGGCCCCTGACACGGTTTAATCAACTAATGTTGTGTGCTACATTGTGTCAATATTGAAGGGTGCTCCTTAAAATTAACGTAAGCGTCATCGTGCTCAATGTATAACCCTGGTCGCCAAAGTGCACCTTGCCGGTGTGCCGGCAGACAAGGCTGATTCAATTTACTTAACAGCTATATTATCCCAATCTCATCCATAGTCTATCGCACGTTTAAAATGAACTTAGGTGCTCAAATGATAGCCAGGGGAGCCAAATCACACACTGCCGGTGTGCCGGCAGACGGTGGATGTGCCTTATTCAAGTTAACTACCATAACATCCCATCTTATCCATAGTCTATTGCACTGTTTAAAACAAACGTAGGGGCCATAGTGCTCATGGGAAAGCCCGGGTACCAAATCAAACCCGGCCGGGGCGCCACCCGTACAAAATTGAACCCCCCCCCCCCTCTCTGCAGAAACCTTCTCTTCTCGGGAGTTTTCTCATCAACTCCCCACAGTTTCAATGCACTCAGATAAACAGTGTCGAACTGCATCCGACCTTAATGTTTTTATATACTGTATATAGAGAAAAATAGCACCCAGCCGGGGCGCCTATTGGACGGCGTGGCCTAGCGGTGAAGCGCTAGACCGGTAACACGATAGTTTCGAGCTCGAATCAGGGTTCAAGTTAGTGGAACGTCCCTGAGTCTACCTAACTCCAATGGGTACCTAACTCACGTTAGGGAGAGTAAAGACGGCTGGGCATAGTGCTGACCACATTATCCCTTTATATGCCGAGGTAAAAAAAACATATGAAATCCACTTCATCTGCTCAATGGATCGTTAGGTATAAAGAGGAATCTTTACTTTTTTTTCCGGGGCGCCGCAAAATAAAAAAAAAATATTTGTTTGCAGAAACTCCCCTGGAGTGTTCTAATCAACTCCCCAAAGTTTCATGGCGATCAGGTGAACGGTGTCAAACCGCAATCGACTTTTATCTTTATATATTGTATATAGAGAAGAATGAATCTCGCCCTACTGGGGCACCACCCTGCGAATTTTTTTTCCCTGCAAAAACCTCCCCAGGAGTATTCTCAACAACTTTGCTTATAAATGTGGATTGCAATCCAGGGATTTATCTCTGAGGGTTAAGTTAAGGGTTAGGGTTAGCTCTGATGTTTTGAAAAAGAACAACTTGCAAATGTAATTATGCTGTAAGAAATGGACCAGCTAGAATGAATGAACTATCTGTAAGTCTCACCTCTCTTTGGTTTAAGTCTGGGGGGTGTGGCCTCACGCTTTTTAAATCCTTCTTTAATGACATGTGTGGAGCATTTTTTCTTCTTCAGGCTTTTCACATTGGAGGAAACAATTTCCTGAGCATGGTGCTTAAAGCCAGGGGGTCTGATGTAGATAGGACCACTTGATGTACTGCTAGAGGGAGAGGCTATGTTCTCATAGTCATGATCATGTTCATATGCAAAATTTGAGAATGGGCTGCAGGGTCCTTCCCTTGGACTTGATGAACTTATTGATTGAGCAAAACTGGAGCCATCATTCTGGTCAGTACTTCTTGCTGTGGGTGTGCTTACAGTGTTGCTAGGGTTATTGATTTGGGGTGCTAGTGTTGTATTTGTGTTGCAAGAATTACTACTGATTGCTACAGCATTGGTTAAATTCTGACTTGTAGTATTGGTGTTTAAGGATGTTGCACTTGTTGTGGTACTGTTGGCGCTAGTGCTGTTGGTTCCATTTGTTATGATGAGAACAGGAGTTCCTGATGATGAATGGGATTGATTCAGTGCTGTTACAATATGATTCAACGTAATCGTTCCAGAACTGTTGTTTTGTGTTCTTGGGCTTGGTAAGGAAACATTTGATTTTTTACCATTTGGATGAGTTCTGGGGCTGGTTTTTGTTGTCAGAATGAAAACATTGTTGGCTCTGGTAGTTGCTGTGTCCAGAGATGGCAGGCTGCTTGTTACAGGTGGACTGTGGTCTGTTATGCTTTCATCACTCTCATCATCTTCACTTTGTAAATATGGAATTGCAATTGGTGTAGATGGACCTTTTTTCCCCCCAGTTGTTTTTGGGTGTGGTGGAGGTTGAGGCTGAAACGGGTATGACAGTGAAGCACTCATGGTGCTTTAAAAGTAGCAACATTTAGACTGACTCTTCATACCTGAAGAATAAAAACAATCCAGAATTAAAATACTAAAAGGTGCACACTATAAGTTGAAAATGAATAAAAGCTGTTGATTCAATTTTGATTCAGTGATTTTAAATTAATGACTTATCTTTAAAGCTATCAAGGGGTCATCCATAAATGACGTCACGCTTTTTTGGACGATTTTTACCTCCCCCCTCCCCTCCGTCACACGTCACAAAAAGCCAGACCCCCCCCCTAAAAAGATGTCACACCTCAACCTACAACCCCCCTCAAAATTGCAGTTGAATTTTTTAAAACATCGATATGTTTCTAAAATCTTGTCTAAACTATTACAGTTTATTAAAACAGTTATCTAAAACGCGAAATAACGTCTAAAATTCGTTTTCTAACATTGCTTTTTTATAATGCAAAAGTGTGACGTTGCAACATCTGACCCCCCCCTCCCCCTCATCACACATCGTCACAAAATTATGGACCCCCTCCCCCCTACGAGTGTGACGTCATTTATGGATGACCCCCCCCCCCCCCCCCCAATGACTATTTTAATTAAAAGAGATTATAATTATATGATTTAAAACAATGTCAGTGTGTCTGTGTGTTAATTTAAAATACACAGTGATGAATGACAATAAGGTTAGGGTTAGGGTTAGGGTTAGGTGAGTAGATTGGTGAATAGATTGGTGAGTAGATTGGTGAGTAGATAAATTGCTGAACACTTGGAAAAGAAACAAATAATATTTTAGCATACTGTACTGTAAGAACTAGTCTTGTCAATTTTAACAACGGCTGTAGAAATCTTACATTATGCTTGAATACAGTTAATTTCTTTCTACTGATAATCCAAAACAGTAATATACTATTTACAGAACAAGCTATCTACTCACCAATATGGTGTAAATCCTTCTGATTAATGTTAGCAAAAAAAATTTCGTCTCTCCCCCCCCCCCCCCCCCCCCCCCCACCTTGGAAAAAGTTGGTGACTTTGTATTTGTTCTACTGTTACCTAATAAATTTTTTACTATAAAATTAACAAAGAGATGGGTGTTTGTTTCATAACCCCATACTGCTATTTTGAAATAGTTTATGCCACATCCCTACCAAACAAGGTACAACTTCTGAACATGGTCAAAGATGAAAACTGCTACTGCTTGGATAATCAATTGCTACTGATAATTCAAAACAGTAATATACTATTTACAGAATTGTTCTAAAGACAGGACAACATATGGACAAATTAGTTTGTATCTTTTACCAACCACCCTCTGAACTTCAGATTTTTTTATAGGCTAAGGCAACAACCCATCAACAGTTTTTTGAAAGCTCAAGCCCTGAAAATCCAACCTCCCATTTTTCTCTTTCAGAAGATTTCTTTCATGACTTTTTGCTCTTCCCCTCTTCCTCTTTACCCATTTATGTGGTGTTATTAACTGTCTATCTGATCTGTGGTGTTATTAACTGTCTATCTGATCTGTGGTGTTATTAACTGTCTATCTGATCTGTAGTGTTATTAACTGTCTATCTGTATATATCTATTTACATATATATATATATATATATATATATATATATATATATATTTTTTTTTTTTTTGTTTTTTTTTTTTTGTTCCGTAACATTGCTCGTATGTCAAATTGCTCGTATCTCAAAGCTATTTCCTTCATTGAAATATATTTAACCTGTTCCAGCCTCCAAAATGCCAAAGCTGGTTTTGATATGTGATGTGTTAATTTAATTTAGTAAAAAAAAAGTGTATTTAAACATGACAAGAAAGACCTTGAGATGTGACCTAGAAGAAGCCACCAAGAAGATTGGATACATCTGGGGACAGTTGGAGAGACTAGCCCAGGACAGAGATGCCTAGAAAGCTCTTGTCAGCTGCCTATGTCCCTGGATGGGCGACAGGCAAAACTAATCTAACCAAATAATGTAGGATAAAAGAAATAAATAAGCTGGTTTTAAGAAGTGTATTTACCTTCAAAATCAGCAGATTTAAGCTTATGGAAGATGGTAGTGGGGTGTAGATGGAGAGCTTCATTTAGTTAATTTACTAAATATTAATGCTAAGCTCTTTTGATCACTTTCTTTCGCTTACTCGTTACACTATTAATGCTACCCCTTAACCCTAAACTTAAAAGAACTGAAACAACATCAAACATAATTGAACCCAAATGTTACTGTAGTGGAGTGTTGTGAGAATTGGGACTCCAATTTTACCCTTCAACAAAAATAAGCTTTCTCCCTTTTATCTGTCTAGAATCATCCCAAACTTTTCCAATCACTTAAAATGCAATTGTCCAAGGTTTGACATAGTCATTTACACTCTCGATAGAAAATGTGGACTTATAATGACAAAAAATTTAAAAGTCATTATGTTGGTGAGATGTCAGACCAGGGTGGTGAGATGTCAGATGGGGGTGGTGAGATGTCAGATGGGGGTGGCGAGATGTCAGATGGGGGTGGTGAGATGTCAAATGGGGGTGGTGAGATGTCAGATGGGGATGGTGAGATGTCAGATGGGGGTGGTGAGATGTCAGATGGGGGTGGTGAGATGTCAGATGGGGGTGGTGAGATGTCAAATGGGGGTGGTGAGATGTCATATGGGGGTGGTGAGATGTCAAATGGGGGTGGTGAGATGTCAGATGGGGGTGGTGAGATGTCAGACCAGGGTGGTGAGATGTCAGATGGGGTGGTGAGATGTCAGATGGGGTGGTGAGATGTCAGATGGGGGTGGTGAGATGTCAGATGGGGTGGTAAGATGTCAGATGGGGTGGTGAGATGTCAGATGGGGTGGTGAGATGTCAGATGGGGGTGGTGAGATGTCAGACCAGGGTGGTGAGATGTCAGATGGGGGTGGTGAGATGTCAGATGGGGGTGGTGAGATGTCAAATGGGGGTGGTGAGATGTCAGATGGGGGTGGTGAGATGTCAGACCAGGGTGGTGAGATGTCAGATGGGGTGGTGAGATGTCAGATGGGGTGGTGAGATGTCAGATGGGGGTGGTGAGATGTCAGACCAGGGTGGTGAGATGTCAGATGGGGGTGGTGAGATGTCAGATGGGGGTGGTGAGATGTCAGATGGGGATGGTGAGATGTCAGATGGGGGTGGTGAGATGTTAGATGGGGGTGGTGAGATGTCAGATGGGGGTGGTGAGATGTTAGACCAAGGTGGTGAGATGTCAGATGGGGGTGGTGAGATGTCAGATGGGGGTGGTGAGATGTCAGACCAGGGTGGTGAGATGTCAAATGGGGGTGGTGAGATGTCAGATGGGGGTGGTGAGATGTCAGATGGGGTGGTGAGATGTCAGATGGGGGTGGTGAGATGTCAGATGGGGTGGTGAGATGTCAGATGGGGGTGGTGAGATGTCAGATGGGGGTGGTGAGATGTCAGATGGGGGTGGTGAGATGTCAGATGGGGGTGGTGAGATGTCAGATGGGGGTGGTGAGATGTCAGATGGGGGTGGTGAGATGTCAGATGGGGGTGGTGAGATGTCAGATGGGGGTGGTGAGATGTCAGATGGGGGTGGTGAGATGTCAGATGGGGGTGGTGAGATGTCAGATGGGGGTGGTGAGATGTCATATGGGGTGGTGAGATGTCAGATGGGGGTGGTGAGATGTCAGATGGGGGTGGTGAGATGTCAGATGGGGGTGGTGAGATGTTAGACCAGGGTGGTGAGATGTTAGACCAGGGTGGTGAGATGTCAGATGGGGGTGGTGAGATGTCAGATGGGGGTGGTCAGATGTCAGATGGGGGTGGTGAGATGTCAATTGGGGGTGGTGAGATGTCAGATGGGGGTGGTGAGATGTCAGATAGGGGTGGTGAGATGTCAGATGGGGGTGGTGAGATGTCAGACCAGGGTGGTGAGATGTCAGATGGGGGTGGTGAGATGTCAGATGGGGGTGGTGAGATGTCAGATTGGGGTGGTGAGATGTCAGATGGGGGTGGTGAGATGTCAGATGGGGGTGGTGAGATGTCAGATGGGGGTGGTGAGATGTCAGATGGGGGTGGTGAGATGTCAGATGGGGGTGGTGAGATGTCAGATGGGGATGGTGAGATGTCAGATGGGGTGGTGAGATGTCAGATGGGGGTGGTGAGATGTCAGATGGGGGTGGTGAGATGTCAGATGGGGGTGGTGAGATGTCAGATGGGGTGGTAAGATGTCAGATGGGGGTGGTGAGATGTCAGATGGGGGTGGTCAGATGGGGGTGGTGAGATGTCATATGGGGGTGGTGAGATGTCAGATGGGGGTGGTGAGATGTTAGACCAGGGTGGTGAGATGTCAGATGGGGGTGGTTAGATGTCAGATGGGGGTGGTGAGATGTCAGATGGGGGTGGTGAGATGTCAGATGGGGGTGGTGAGATGGGGGTGGTGAGATGTCATATGGGGGTGGTGAGATGTCAGATGGGGGTGGTGAGATGTCAGATTGGGGTGGTGAGATGTCAGATGGGGTGAAGAGATGTCAGATGGGGTGAAGAGATGTCAGATGGGGGTGGTGAGATGTCAGATGGGGGTGGTGTCAGTGGTGAGATGTCCGCATCCCCCCCCCCCCCCCCGGGAGAAAAAAAGTCTGGAAGAAACACTCATTATGTACTCTATATTTTAACATGACATATAATATTAAGAGCAGCTAATTTAAGCTATTAGCATACTACTTACTATAACTTACAAGACCTATTTAAATTTACTAGGAATTACATTGATAAGCCAAGCTACTTACTTTATCTTGTCATTTAGAACATTTAAATAAAAAGTTAAAAGGCTATTCTCAGATTCTGGCTAATCACTGAATGTTATATAGCCATAGGCCTATTCATTAGAGTATATAGATTCTAATTAGAGAATTCCAAAATATGTAAGCTACAGAAGCACACGTTTTTCACTCTTTATTCACTATTTATTTATCTACAGTCGACTTAATATTAGATCTACATGTAATAACATAGAGACTGGAAGTTACCTTAAAAGTATGTAATGTAGATCTTTTCTAGGCCTTATAGATCTATGTCATATAGAATCTAGTAGACTCACTGTCAAACTGGACTGGAACACACTAGCCAGAAAACGTGATTGAACATGTTGTTCCGTGCCGTGGTACAATAACAAGCCTTATCGATTAGCACAGCACTATTGAAAACCAGGTACCACAGAAATCAACAAAAATTCAATCCGGTGAATGACACGTACCAACAGGACTCGCCGGGGTTCGCCTTCCTCACACTAGTAATCATATCAACTCAACATCGAAGCGAAGACGATCTTACTCTTACTAGATCTAAATTGTTGTACGAAAAAGACTTAAAATTCATCTAAAATAATTAAAGTTAATTATAATAATAGGTTAAATTTGAAAATAAAAAATTCTTTTTACCACAATGACTCAAAAATGTAAAAATCTACTTAGTCCTTAGATATGTTTGATTAAACCGTAACTACAGCAAGCGTCGTTAGGCACGCTAAGCTGTGCTTCGTTTTTCATAAGCTATGTTTTGATTGGATGGCTAGTTCCCGAGATAGAAATAACGTCATAAGCGATTGATTCTGCCTAGCTCAAGGATATGTAATTTTTGTATTGCCGTAATAAAACAAGACAGCGAATACATAAATTTAGATCTAGATTCTCTAGTTCTGGTTGGGTTATAGAATGAAATTTAAAAAATAAGAAGTAGGTCTATAGATAATAAAGTTATAAAGTCTAAGGAATTTCTTTTGCTGTTTTGCCTACGGAGGGAGGGGGGAAGGGGGGGGGGTCGTCCGTATACATGACGTCACGTGCCGGGGGGGGGGGGGAGTCAGACTTTTTTGACGAGGGGAGGTGGGTAGAGATGGCGTAACGTCACACTGCCTTAATCCCCTGCAATTGATTCACATGCATGCTTTAAGTTTCTAAAAAAATAAGCTTTCTAAATATTACATTTTTTACTTTCTCGTATACAGAGTACTAGCCGTCCCGGCCAGGCCCTGATCTGGCCTCTGTGAAAAACCTATCAGTAAAGGACCTTGACATGTGTGTTGTTGTAATCAGCAATAACATATCGCCGGCATTGCCCACCCTAACCACAACCAAAACCAAAACAAAAAAAAGAACCGCGAACATAACACAAACAAACACAACACAAACACAACACAAATACAACACAAATACAACACAACCACAATACAAACACAACACAAACAAAACAACACAAACAAAACACAACACAACACAAACAAAAACACAACACAAACCGGGACGGCTATATTAAAATTGTATATCTTCTTTTAGTTTGGTGCAGGTGTCTATAAAAGAGCAGTGTTTCTTCCAGACTTTTTTCTCCGGGGGGGGGGGGGGGGGGGGGGGGGGGGGGGCGGGCGGACACTGTTAAAAGTATATATTTTCTATATAAATTATATAAATTTCATTTCGTTCAAGGGGGCGGTAAAAAAATTTCGTGGGGGGGGGGGGGGGGGGGTGGGTTTAGCCCCCCCCCCCCCCCCGAAGAGATATACAAATACAAAAACAAACACAAAGAAAAAACAAACGAAAACGAAATAACGCAAACGAACCAAATCAAAACGCAAACCCAACTGCTAACGCAAACCCAAATCGTACCATGCTCGGGCGCCGGCGGAATCGCCTGTTTCAGCTTAATAAACGACTATAATACCCCAACTTATTTATAGTCTTTTGCACTCACTTAAACGAACATAGGCGCCAAACAGAACACGGGAATGCCCGGGGCCCCAAATAGCACCCTGTCTGGACGCCTGAGGACTCCCGGATTCGATTCACTTAAAGACTATAGTAACCTTTTTTATCCATACTCTATCGCACTGTTTAAAGCGAAATTATGCACCAAAGCGCTCACATGATAGCCCAGGGCGCCAAATTGAACCCTGGTGGGGCGCCGGCGGACGCGCCTGTTTCAATTTAATGAACAATTATAATACTCCAAGCTTATCTGTAAACGGAAAGAAATAAACATATAGGACATGTAGGACCTGGCTTATTAACTGTTATTGATTTTTTAAAAATAATTAGTAAACAGTAAGTTCAGTGTATAGAATAAATAAAAGGCAGTATTAAAAATACCTACAACATTGCACTTAATCAATCCCAGCTAATTATGTAATTTTTTTTCTAACACCAAAATGTAATGTTTTTTTTTTTAAAGCGAAGTAACTGTGTTTTCCAAATCAAGGGACCTTATGAGAACTAAAGGACAAAATGCAAATACATTTCAGACACAATTTTAGAAATTTTATAAACGTTGATACACTTGTTTCTTTTAATTTTATGTAATGTTCATAATTAAAAATTATCATTCTAAGTATATAAAATGAAAATTGCTTTTAAAGACTTTCAATAGTATTTTTTAACTCATAAATTTAGACCATGAGCACTTTAAGTCTAACACTTAAATCCATCTAAGTATCGGTGGTTTTTTTTTCGTTTTTTCTTATATTCCTTTGTAATCCACGACAAACATTTTACAAACATACATACAGAACTTTATATATTAGATAGAGGAAGTATTGTAATCGTGCACAAAAATCACTTGACATTTTGACAGTTTCCATAGTTTTACATCTCAGTACTTAAGGGTCATCCATAAATGACGTCACGCTTTTTTGACGATTTTTACCTCCCCCCCTCCCCTCCGTCACTATGTGAACTAAAGGACAAAATGCAAATACATTTCATACACAATTTTAGAAATTTTATAAACGTTGATACACTTTTAAAATTTTTTTATGTAATGTTCATAATTGAAAATTATTATTCTAAGTGTATAAAATGAAAATTGTTTTGAAAGACTTTCAATAGTAATTTTTTAACACATAAATTTAGACCATGAATACTTTAATAATCTAACACTTGACTCCGTAATTATTCTAAGTATATAAAATGAAACTTGTTTTGAAAGACTTTCAATCGTAATTTTTTAGCTCATAAATTTAGACCATGAGTAGGCCCCCTACTTTAATAATCTAACACTTGACTCCGTGAAAGTATCAAATTTTTTCGTTTTTTCTTATATTCCTTTGTAATCCACGACACACATTTTACAAACATACATACAGAACTTTATATATTAGATAGAGGAAGTATTGTAATCGTGCACAAAAATCACTTGACATTTTGACAGTTTCCATCGTTTTACATCTTAGTACTTAAGGGACATCCATAAATGACGTCACGCTTTTTTGACGATTTTTACCTCCCCCCCCCTCCCCTCCGTCACACATCGTCACAAAAAGCTAGACCCCCCCCCCCCAAAAAAAATGACGTCACACCTCAGCCTACAGCCCCCCCCCCCCTCAAAATTGCAGTTACATTTTTCTTAAAACATCGATATTTTTCCAAAATCTTGTCTGAACTCTGTAGAAATGGAGTATTTTAATCAATTCCTATTACAATTTATTAAAACAGTTTTCTAAAACGCGAAATAACGACAAAAAATATGTTTTCTAACATTGCTTTTTCATAGTGACTTCGCACCATCTGAACCTCCCCCCTCATCACACACCGTCACAAAATTACGGACCCCCCCCCCCCCCCACCCTCCCTCCCCCTGCCTATGCCACTGGATCTGTATAAACTATACCAGTAAGTTTGACTGGCACGGTTTTTTCAATAGTGTCTTCTAAATGTAAGTTCTCTAAAGTGCCTATGGACACTTCCTTGTTGTCATGAGTTATGGAAAAATGCGCAAAGAGAAAAATGCGCACACAGAAAAAAACACAAACAGAAATTTGCGCACGTGGAAAAATGCGCAAAGAGAAAAGTGCATGCACAGAAAAATGTGCAAAGAGGAATGTGTGCACACAGAAAACACCCGAATAAAAATCTTCGCACATAGAAAACTACACACAGCTATCTCACGTATGAAGATTATGGCAATCTGCGTGTGCTGTGTGCGTGCATGTTTGAATTTGCACGTGCTTATTATGTGCAAATATTTTATTTCAACGTCTCTAAATTTTTATTTAATAATAAATACGACATCATTTTCTAAAATAAATAGAATCATAAACTGCTAAGATTTTCCATTATAGATGTTTTTCGACCACAGGTGATAAGCCCACATCTTGTTTGACCACAGCCAGGGGGGGGGGGGGGCGGAGTGGGCCAGGCCGATAAAAAAGCAATGACTTTGTATTCCAAAAGTACGTTTTCGCGCACCTTAATAATGGTTTTGTAAAAAAAAAAAACTACTACTGTAGTGATGTTCTACAGTAGCTAACACACGCTGTTGCGTAAAAGAAAAAAATTATCTACATAAGCTTTAGTGTGCAAGATAAACAAACATTCAAACCACTTCCATGACTTATTTCCCTTTTTTAAATAGTCGAATAGAAGTGCCCATAAACTCCTTTTAATAGTTTTGTACTACGCAAATTGAAAAGCAATTACTTCTCTTAATTATTTTTTTTTATAAAATACATACTAAAAGAACGACATAGTATAAAAAGGAATTTAAAAAAAAATATAAATTAAAAAAAAAACAACATAAAAATAAACATAACACGAGAAACCATTACACATACAAAGCTTTCATGTTTCATATACTTTTGACCGGTTTGCACATGGGAAGTTATACGGCCACATCAAAAGTGACACACAGATTTGAAAACAGACTATTGCACTTAAACACATGACATGTTGTAATTTGTTAGAATTGAAAATAAAAGTATTATGTATTTTTTAAAAACAATGTGTTTTTTTTAAAACTAGATTAGGCCCGAAATGAGTATCCTACGTTCGTATTTTGTATTTATTATATATATATATATATATATATATATATATATATATATATATATATATAGGCCTATGGTTCCCAGAAAAAAGCGCAACGGAAAAAAGCGCAAAACAAAAAGCGCAACTTTTTGCGCTTTTTTCTCTTTGCGCTTTTTTCTCTTTGCGCTTTTTTCCGTGTGCGCTTTTTTCTCTTTGCGCTTTTTTCCGTGTGCGCTTATTTCCGTTGCGCTTTTTGTTTTGCGCTTTTTTTCCGTTGCGCTTTTTTCCGTTGCGGTTCTTTCCGGCCACCATTAAATATATACGTCTATGTATACACACCAACGTAAACATGCAAGAATAAATAAAAACACACACATTTACATATACATATTCATATTGTCTCAGTCATAATTGATGAAAAATCTGTGTGTAATTTTCTGTGTGCTTAATTTTCTAATTTGTGCATTTTTCTGTGTTCGCATTTTTCTGTTTGCTCATTTTCTGGTTGCTCATTTTTCTTCCTAGCGCATTTTTCTGTGTGCGAAAATTTCTGTTTGTGTTTTATTACGTTGCGTATTGTGTTTGCGCTTTTTTTCCGTTGCGCATCTTTCTGGTCACCATAACCCTGACCCGAATCCAAGAGGCTAATGAATAATTAGCCTACTACTGTAGTCTGTGTAGTAAGACAATCTTTTTTAATAGTAAATCAAGTTGCAAGAAGAAATTTATTTCTTAATGCTATTTTTTTAAAATTATAGTCAGATTTTGGGTCCCTGAGGGCCTGTCCCCTTTCGGATTATGAGGTATGACAACACTTGTGTCCAAAGTTTCTTCCAGGCATCTCTTCGGGGGGGGGGGGGGTGGGGGGGGGGGGGCTTGGCTGCCCCCCCCCCCCCCCCTCCGAACGAAATTTATATAATTTATATAGAAAATATATACTTTTAACAGTGTCCGCCCCCCCCCCCCCGAAGAAAGTCTACCGCCCCCCCCCCCCCCGAAAATTTCAAGTGCCCCCCCCCCCCCGGAGAAAAAAGTCTGGAAGAAACACTGCTTGTGTCCTACACGTTATCAACAGCTTGAGTTTAAAAAAAAATGCCCAAAAACAGCTGACGAGATTCATGCAAGAAAAAACAAACTATAACATACAAACTATCACGATGATAACACAATGAACAAGTCGTGGTGAGCTAGGGAAACCTGATCCAAATGTGCACATCAAATTATTCAAAGAAGGGCGACAATATTGAAACGTGGCAAGCGCTGAACCAGATCAGATGTGACTTTATTACTGCTATATGCTGGATAACGTTGTGTATTTTGGTACTCGGGTGTTTGAGGGCTAAAATACTTTAAAAGCCATTAGTTACGTTCGTTATGTTGTTTGAGTTTCCGACTACTAAAATTAACAATTGAAAGAACAATTTATATTCTAAATATCTACTAGATCTAGATCTATTTATAATTTCAACTAAAGACCGCCGAATTGTATCGATTTGCGATGGAAAATTGGTTGGCAAAATGGACGACTTTCATACTGCTAGAACTGTTTATATTAGCTTGCCACGTACAGCATTTGGACTGTGAAAAAATATTAGGAGAAGAGAATGCCGAATTTGATTTTGATGGCCTTCCAGGGGCCCAACATGAGTTTAAAGTGTATATTCCAGGAAACACTGAAGATTGTTTTTTTCAGCCTGTTGCACAGGGAGCAAAGTTTCACGTCAACTATGAGGCAAGTAGATCTATTCTCAGCTCTAGGATCTAGATCGGTAATCTATCGTTTTGGGTACGTAAAATCGCCCGCGATTTGTAATGTGAAAAACAGGTGACTCCTTAAATTTTAATAATTATTTCACATTTTGAGGAGGATTTATGTTTTAAAAAATTCAAAAATGTTTCCTTGATTCATTTATGTACCTGTTTTTAAACAATTGAATTAAAACTTTTCCGTAATAAATGAACACCAGCGAATAAATGAAGACTAGCGATGTTTCCCACAGATGCAACCATGCTCATTTACTATAGCAGCCATCTTGTCTAAGTTTTATTTTTATAAGCTTTTAGCGCCAGATTCAGGGGGAAGCCACTCTATTTTACAAATGGCTGCTGTTTATATAGCAAATCTTGCTCTCAGACACTGCTGTTTACAGTTAATTTCTGGCCTATATCGATATATTTAGCCATTGATTTAGGTTTATTATTCATTTATCTATAATATTTGACACAAAAGTATGACAATACACTTCTATTAAAGCCTTGACAATGAGGTAACGTTTTCGTACATAAATAGCCGCCGGCGATTTTACGTACCCAAAACGATAGATTACCTCTAGATCTCTCAGTCGATCCTAACCCTAACTAATTAAATTAACTATAACTAAGTAACTAATGTAACTAACCGGGCCTAGATCTAGATTTTCTAGATCTAGTTCTAGAAAGTCTAGAACTTAGAGTGAGTGTCCCGACTACGCGCCTTGTTGTGAACACTTCCGTAACTCACTTTCAATAGTAACTGAACTGTTATTTGAATGTTTTAGGCCCTATACTCAGTAGCGTACGCAGAGGGGGGGGGGGGGGGAGCAGGGGGAGCAGCCGCTCCCCCTCTGGCCATTTTCAGCAAAGTGGCGCCTTTTTTGGAAACTTTTTAAACTCAAAGTTTTAAACAATGATTTTTGTTAAAAATTATTTTTGGTCGGCACATCGATGTAAATCACAAGATTTCTTTTCATGCAGCATTTAAGCAGAATTGTACTATTCTAGTAGCGTCTACGTTTACAACACGTATTAACAGGGGTGTGGGGAAATTGCGAGACGCGAAAAGCGAAATTGCGAGGCGGGAAAATGCGAGAAGGTAATGCGAGACATACCTGCGGAATTAAGGGTAAACAGCGAGACACTTTTTGCGAAAAAAGTTTTTTCCTTTTTTTTTCCATCTTTATTTATTTAAATTATTTTTTTGTTTGTTTTAAAATAAACAAGCATTTAGCCATACCCTTTAACACGAGTGTTGTATGTTGTTATTTTTTATCTAGATACTAAGAAGATAGATAGATCTATATCTAGATCTATCTATTTAAAAATCCTAACATCGTTGCTGTGCTACTGTCATCGCCCGCTCTTGTTAGCGAGAGGAAAATCCCGTCTCAGTCGGCATTAATTTAAAAATCTAGCCCGCTCATGTTTATACAAACGTGAGCTGTGTCATTGTGAATTGGTATAGTCTTGTCAGCAGGAGAGATATTTTGCAACATCTATTTATGGATTTTTGTACTTGCAAAAAATGTAAAAGTATAAACAATTCTAAAAAGTGCAATTTTTTTTTTTATTAAGTAATTTTAATTACAAACAAAATTTACAAACAAAATCTTCTGAAACAGTCCTCAAACACACCTCGTGACACCATCTTTCACACATAGTACACCCAACCCAGTTCATTAGACTCCCATTTATACATTTTTCTTTTGCTACTTCTTCCAATCCACATTCACAACATTTCACATTCTCATCACAGTTGACCTCCTCGTTCATCCCACAAACAACACTGGCACCCATGTTCTCATCATCATCATCCACACGCTCAACATCTGTTTTCCGTTTTTTTATTATTTCCCAAAATCTTGTCTAATTTCGGTAAAAAATGGAGTATTTTAATCAATTCCTATTACAATGTATTAAAACAGTTTTCTAAAACGCGAAAAAAACGTCTAAAATTCTTTTTCTTACATTGCTTTTTTATAGTGTGACTTCACATCTAACCCCCCCCCCCCCCTCCTCCCCCTCATCACACATCGTCATAAAATTACAGCCCCCCCCCCCCCCCTTACGAGTGTGACGTCATTTATGGAAGACCCCAAATAACACCACCACCAAAACCAAAAAATTCAGATAAGTTCAACTTGGTTTTAAAAATATTTGAAGTAGGCCCATAGCTTACGATATAGCACGAGCAACTGATAATATCGGTGACGTCACTTTATTTTGTTGTATCCAAATGATGTAGGCATTTCCTTGTGCTTAGATTTATATGGTAAAAAAAGCTAGAAAAAAATCGTAGGCGGCGGCTATAATACAAAACTTCTATGCAACAATAGAAAATATGTTTGCGGCGGCAGCGGATCCGGGCACGGCGATCTTCAAAGACGGTAAATCAGGCGGCCTCGGCGTTCCACACAAAAGACAGAAGTTGATCTATCATCGGTGGTATTTCCGTCGGTTTCGAACTAGGTGGTATTCTAAGTCGACACAAAAGATGGGGGGAGTTGACAAATCATCAGTATGTCTAGCGACGGAAAAATCGGAAGTTTTAACAATGTAAACTAAACGTCTTTGAAGTCTTGACCAAATACCACTGAAAATCGGGTGCGGTAAATTTTTCGCAGAAATCTTCGCATTTCAACACCACCCAGCGTAAGTATCAGCTTGTGGTAAAATGCGAGACAAAAAAGTCACGTGACCGACCGTTTTCGCGCCCTTCTCGCATTTTCCCGCCTCGCCATTTCGCTTTTCGCGTCTCGCAATTTCCCCACACCCTATTAACAGCTGCATCAAGTTTGTCATTCTAAAAATAACCATTACGATGCATTGCAATTTTAAATGCACCAGAGTTCCTCACTAGTTAGTCTTACTACTAATTCCTAAGATCTAGTAGAAATTTAATTTCATTTAGATCTAGTTTTTAGAAAGTGGGGGATATTTTTTTTACAGTCAGTTCTAAGTTAATAATTTAGATTCTAAAAAAATAATGTGGTGTCTTTACTCAATAGTAAGTTGAAAAAGAGGTGGTGTGGAGTTTATATGTATGAAGAGAGGTGGGTTGGGAGAGAGGATTGGATAGTGTAAAACAGCTGACATACCTTTTTCCCAATGGGAAACTGGGTCATCTAGTATACTAATAAACTCAAAAAATTCACAAAACTTGTAGCATTTTAGTATGAGTAATAATGTAGAAAAAACTTTTCTGTTTAATATGAATGTATGTATTCTTTAAAGATTATAATTAATTACAAGGCTTAATCAAATGTTTAAACATACTAATAACAATCTTTTTCAAGTTGTTTTCCTTCATGTGCTGTTGAAGTATTAGTTCTGGTGAGAAAAAAAAGTTCAGACACTGTATGAAATGCTTGACATTTTTCTTTGAGACTATAAATATTATACAATAAAATATTGTAAGTTTTATGGCTTTAAAAAAAATCTGTTTTATGAGTTGCTATATCTCTGCTACTGCAATGTACATCACTTGTTTTAGGTATTGCTGGACAAGCTAAACTAAGAGTTAACTCTCTCTTGTTTAATGTGCTATGAACATTTTCTTATTTTAACTTAATCTTGGTTTATCCATCAGATTTGAATAGTATAGATTTTTCATTCTGATTTGATACAATCATGAATTTAAACTTGAATCATACTTTTTTTTATTCTACCTGAGATATGCAAATTGTAATAGCCTAAAGCGTTCATGATAAGAACAATATTTTACAGTCTGAACTCATGAAAATTGAAAATCAAATTACAGGAATCGATTGTCCTAAAACTGTATCAGAGATGTGACTTTTCCCATTTTTACAAGCTTTTATTTAACTTGCTTTCTCTCTCGACAGTCTTCAGTCTGTCTGTCTAGATCGAAAGGCCCGAGCTAAACTTCTAACAGATTTGTTTCAACGTTGGCACGTGGGTTAAGGCATGAACACTATTTAAATAGTAGTGTATAATTTATTTTCTACTTTTTAGTGCATTAGTACATAAAAGCTTGTTGTTAAAACGTAGTGGTAATCTGATTTTTCAGTTCAAGATGCAATTTTCCAGTGCAAATTTCATTTCTCTTAATTTTTCCTATGATTTAAGAAGAAAATGGCAGTTTTCTTCGTTAACAACGCACCACAAAGCTTTTCTAAATTGATGTTAGCAAGTTTTAGAGGCTTGATAGTTCAGTAAAATAAATAAAAACATGTAGCTTCTTAATAAACAAGTTTGTGAATCTAGTTTTTATAGTTTATTTCTTCAGTATATTTTGATTATTAAAGCTATAACACCATTTAATGATTAGACTTCCACTTAATTTTTCAGCTTCGCCCGATGAGCTAAACCCCACTTCACTTTGTATCGAAGTCTAATTTTTTTCTGATTGCTTAGTTCAAATATGTTTGTCTTTTCTGAAAGAGGGTACTTTGAAAATTAATTGCAACATATTTTTCTAATCTTTTTAGAATAGCTGAATATTTTTTCTGTTAAATGTAAAAGGTCACGTGATCGTACACTTCATCGCCAGTGTCAACAATGTATGGGTATAGTTTAAAGTAGAAAACCCCGCAAATTTGATGCATGGGTTGGGTTTTAGCGATGATTTTAAACTAAATAGTACATGATGTGTAGCTTGAAATACTTTACATTACCAAAGAAATCGATTTTTTAGTGTGTTCTTTTATATCAATTTTAACTATATGTTATGTTAATGCGTCCAAAACTTACCTGGAATGGGGGGGGGGAAGCGAGATATTTACTACAGTTGTAACAATTTCAATATATATTAATGATCGGTGCACAAGTGCAGATGCATTTACACTTTGCAGTCAGCTTTGAAATAAACCCTTATTAGATTCCTTTAAAAGTAGATAGCCCTTGTCTATGAAAAAAAAATGTTACGTTCTCTAAATTATGTTGACCGTTTATGGTGACTATTGTGGCTATTGATTACATATTTTCAGGTTATAGTTGAGAAGAACGACTGTTAAGACACTAAGGGTGAGAATGCAAGACTAGCATGGTTGTCTATTTAGTTGTATTTAATAAGCATGTGTATTTTGGTGTAGCCCTACCATATCGCAAAAATTGTTGAACCAGCTATGTATAAATACATATTTATAACATAAAGATACATCGACTAAGGCATTCTAAATACATGTTTTTTCTTTTAAATGTACTACTGGTTCTAGAGACTAATAATTATTTCAACAACAAAAATTTCTTTATGTGACCCTAGCACTGTTCCAACCACCATTGGATCGCATATAAATTAATCACAGACACAAACACTGCTTACCTGTTAAGAGCTATGATTATCCATGATTATCCTTTATTTCTATGTACTCAGATCTACTGTAGGTGTCTTAATTTATTTTTTGTAAATTTTTTAAAAAGACGCATTTTTGACAGATTGTGAACCCCTGCACTCTTCTGATCAAACGTGTATTTCAAACGTACTTGTTATAGGCATACATGTAACTTAAATTCAAAGAAGCGTTGTTCCCCTACATTTTGATACACTTATCAAGTATGTTCTTTCATCAGACATTTTTTGGTGATCTTTTAGAACGTACAAAATTTGTGTTTTTTACTTCCCTTTTTAATTTTGTTCAAAAAGTGAGAAAAGCCAATTTCAATGCAATTAATTTAAATGATGTACTTATTTTTGAGGTTTGAAAAAAAAAATTGTGTCTGTTCTCTCTGTATGTGTGTCTGTGTTGAGTTCAAAAGATTTTGTTTGTGACATGTACTTTTACAGATATAACCTCTCAAACATGGCACTTTTTAGGGTGTTGGAAAAAAGTTAAAAACCAGTTTTTTAAAACGTCACAACTTTTTTACTATTTGAGATATATATAGATAAATAGCATTGCTTGAGCTCCATGTCTGCTTGTTCACTAATATAGGTCTGCGTGAACACCAGTATAGTAGATCTGCTTGTATACCAGTATAGGTCTGCTTATACATCAGCTTGTAATAGTGAACACCAGTATTGTAGATCTGCTTGTATACCAGTATAGGTCTGCTTATACATCAGCTTGTAATCCATGCCTGTATATACACCAGTTTATATGCTGCTTGTATAACCAGCATTCCAGTGAACTTTTTACATGTAGTTTCTTGGACGCAGAGTATAAAAAAAGTATTGTAATCATGCAAAAAATTCAGGAAAACTTTGTTTTGCAATTTTTTTTGGTCTCTCTGTGTGTAGGTAAACATGGTAACATTTTAGTTAAATTCATATATAAGTATTGGGAACCGGACATTTGCCCGAAAGACACTTGCTGGATGCTGTTTGCCTGAAGGCTGTTTTCCTAAATGGACACTTGGCCGAATGGGAGAAACTTTAGAGCAACTTTTTAAAAAGTGGACTTTAACATCCACAGGTTTTAAAAGGTGGTGATAATAAAGTGGACTTTTACATCCACAGGTTTTAAAAGGTGGTGATAATAAAGTGGACTTTTACATCCACAGGTTTTAAAAGGTGGTGATAATAAAGTGGACTTTTACATCCACAGGTTTTAAAAGGTGGTGATAATAAAGTGGACTTTTACATCCACAGGTTTTAAAAGGTGGTGATAATAAAGTGGACTTTTACATCCACAGGTTTTAAAAGGTGGTGATAATAAAGTGGACTTTTACATCCACAGGTTTTAAAAGGTGGTGATAATAAAGTGGACTTTTACATCCACAGGTTTTAAAAGGTGGTGATAATAAAGTGGACTTTTACATCCGTGACCACGAGTGGAGGGTCATTGAAGTCCAAAATTTTCAGACTAGTGGATCTATTAGCCTAGATAATGTTGTTGCTGGTAAGGTAATGCTTGTTCAGTAGTTAACTGCTTGTTTTAGATAAGTGGTTAATGGCTTGTTTTAGATAAGTGGTTAACTGCTTGTTTTAGACAAGTGGTTTACTGCTTGTTTTAGACAAGTGGTTAACTGCTTGTTTTAGACAAGTGGTTAACTGCTTGTTTTAGACAAGTGGTTTACTGCTTGTTTTAGACAAGTGGTTAATAGCTTGTTTTAGACAAGTGGTTAACTGCTTGTTTTAGACAAGTGGTTTACTGCTTGTTTTGGACAAGTAGTTAATAGCTTGTTTTAGACAAGTGGTTAACTGCTTGTTTTAGACAAGTGGTTTACTGCTTGTTTTAGACAAGTGGTTTACTGCTTGTTTAAGACGAGTGGTTTACTGCTTGTTTTAGACAAGTGGTTTACTGCTTGTTTTGGACAAGTGGTTAATAGCTTGTTTTAGACAAGTGGTTTACTGCTTGTTTTAGACAAGTGGTTAATAGCTTGTTTTAGACAAGTGGTTAACTACTTGTTTTGGACAGGTAGTTAAATACTTGTTTTGGACAAGTGGTCAACTACTTGTTTTAGACAAGGGATTAATTGCCTTTTTGAATTCAAGCTATTAACTGTGTGTTATAACTCATCTTGAATGTTAAAAATAGGAAGCAATTTAATTACCAAATTTTATGGTTAAAATGTGCAGTAATCTAAGTGTTGCAAAACGTTATTTTTATTTGGGAAAATATGAAGGGGATAAAGTTTATACATTACTTTGATAATGCTGGATATTTTTTCTTCTGTTTATTCCCTTCAAAATCTTTCCTAAATATTTAACAATTGCAACTGTTAAATGACATTTACTTTAGAATAGACAAGTTGAAAACCTGTAACTGTGAACTTTTATTGCTAACAATGAGGATAAGGAAAAACATTTTAAAAGATGTCCTTTTACCCAGTGTTTACCAGTTGCTTAGCTCTTCAGCAAGCATTTCAGTTTTCTCAAAATTAATTAAAAGTTATATTATAATGTAAGTAGACTTTTGGGTTATAATCGTAAAAAAAATTAAACATTTTCTCCAACTTTATTATTCCTATACTGAATGTTTACCATAATGATTGAACTAGTATTAAAAACTAATGAGCACATGAATATTTTCAGGCACATATGCTGTTTGTGTGGATAATGCTTTCAGTAGGTTTGGAAGCAAGCTGGTTTACATCTACATTGTCACCTTTGTTATGCATGAATGGGTAGCTTTCCAACAGGAACTTGGGGAAGTACAACTTCTGGCAGCCAACTTTTCAGTAAGTCATGTGGAATACTTTGGCTTCATTTTTAACCAGAGAGTAAACTGAGGGATTTTCCCCACTGTCACAAAAGGCCACAACCCTAACCCTATCCCAATAACAAGAAAGCTCTGCTCTCCCCAGCCTTACACAGAGAGATAGGTTTTTCATCATTTTTGTCTTTTAAAAAAATAAAAGAAGTGCCACATCACACTTTTTAAAAACACCTCCCAAACAAGGTAAAATAAGTCAGGGACCCACCCCCACCCAGGAGTATTACTTTTATGGATAACCCCTTGAAACTAAATTCTGAATTAGTTGAATCTAGTACTTTTACTAACTAAATTAAAGTTTCTTGTTTTAAATACCTAAATAATTCCTTACTGTTTTCCCTTTGTATTCCTTTAACTTTAAATGATTATATTTTTAACAGAACTCTCTAACAAGCGTACAAGAATCTGTTTCATCAATGCTAAATTCACAAGCTAAAGCCAGGTAAAAAATTTCATCAATGTAAAATTCACATTAAATCAGTAATTTAGCGAATAAATTTTCAGGAAGAGCTAGCAGATTCTCTTGCTGATATAATGTCTCATATCCTTGATACATCTATTTATTTAAACGAACAACCAGGTGACATCATGGCGGTAGGTTCACTGGAACGCTATTAAAATGCTTGACTGTTAATTAAAATTTAAATCAGGAAAAGTGCAGTATTAGCTGAATTCGACAATCTTACATCAAATGTTTTGATTGTTTACTTAAAAAGCTTATAGATAGAAGCCAATGGATATTTCCTGTCTTTACTCTAGATGTTTCTTAACAACTTCAAGGTCATGTTGTCTGACTCTAGCTGTTTCTTATCAACCTCAAGGTCATGTCTTATAGATTTTTTACAAGCTTTTATTTAACTTGCTTCCTCTGTCTTACTCCTGTCTAGATTGAAACGGGCGAGCGGAATTTCTAACCGATCAATTTCTCTGAAATTCAGCATGTGGGTCAAGACCCAATGACAATGCAGTATGGGGTCATCCATAAATGACTTCATGCTTTTTTGATGATTTTTACCTCCCCCCCTCCCAGTCACAAAAAACCAGACCCCCTCCTCCTAAAATGACGTCACACCTCAGCCTACATCCCCCCTCAAAATTGCCGTTGAATTTTTTTTTAAAACATCAATATTTTTCCAAAATCTTGTCAGAACAGAGTTTTTTGATCAATTCCTATTACAATTTATTGAAACCGTTTTCTAAAACGTGAAATAACGGCTAAAACTCGTTTTCTAACAATGCTTTTTTATAATGCAAAAGTGTGACATCACACCATCTGAACCCCTCCCTCCCCTCATCACACACCGTCACAAAATTACGGACACCCCCCTTCCCCCCTACGAGTGTGACGTCATTTATGGGAGACCCCCTATGACATTAAATTTGACTTAATTGGATGCCTAATTAATAAAAATTTTCTGAAATTAGTAGACTGTCACAACTATTCTGCGCTATTTAGGGTTTATGTGGCCTCCTGAAATTCCAGGAGGTCCTGGAAAACTCATAAAATTGCAAAAATCTTCTGGAATTCTCATGAAATTGTTTAAAATCCCTCAAAATTTCCAGAACTGTGAAAATCCAACAGCAATTTTCATTTTTGTTCAATCGGTTGGCAAGTTATACTTAGATAAAGTTTTCTTGAAAATAATGTATCAAGAAATATGCAAATTCCAAACATCGTCACCAGCGTGATCGCAGCTCCTGCTTTCTCGTTAAAAAATCTCCACGCGTTTAGGGTTCACTTTGCGTTAATATCAGCAGCCTTCTAGCATACGTCATTGTATAAATGATTGCTATTTGCCATTATTGGTGACTTCCCTTTACATTTCCCCCAAACCAAGTCATTTGAAAATGTACTTGGGGTCATTGAGAGTGCACATGTTTATTAGCCCTAGTACTATTTCTAGCAACATTCATTTTTTTCAAGGATGTGACTTCCAAATTTTGGCAGATTTTTAGTCCTAATTTTCCACCGATGTTTTCAGTAAAAAATTTTTGACGTTCTTTGAAGGAAAAATACTTTAACTGTTTGATACAGCTTGTTTTAGGAAAAATAAAATGATGTCATGGCCAAGCTCAAATAGCGGTGTTGTTCCTGCTGTGACACGAGCTATAGGCCTACTCTATTCTAGGCCTACTATATTCTAGGCCTACTATATTCTAGGCCTACTCTTTTCTATTCTATTGCACTCCAAATGAACATGATAATTTGCATATAATAATTTATTATAAGCTTAGTGCGTTATGTTCATTTGGGGTGCAATAGCTTTTAGTCATGCAACTCTATTGTAATAGAAAATTTAAATTACTAAAAAAAGCATAAATTTCTATATAATAGTTTCGCTGTCTGTCTGTCTATCTATCTATCTATCTATCTATCTATCTATCTATCTGTCTGACAAGAACGCTCTAGAGAAAAGACAAGCAATTTAAAAACATGCATAGTAATTCGAAAAACGAAGTATGATGTCGACACATTTAGCATAGAGTAGAAAATAATCTCAAACCCAGAGAGTGCTCACAGTTATATGACGTCATTGATTATCGCGTAAACATTGAAAAAAAGGAAATGTTGTCTAATCTAAGTGGTTTGCGTGAAGAGTTTCTTGCATACAGTTCTTCGTGTAGGGGCGAAGCTCCACCCCCCGCGTAAGAACGTCTGAGCCCCCCCCCTCCCCAACTCAAAAGAAATTTCTTCATCGATACTCTATAATAAAATTACCGCCTAATTAATGTGTCTAATCTAAAAAGTGGTTTTCTCGCAATTTCTTTAATGCAATTCTTCGCGTAGTGGCTAAGCGCGACACCAGTGTTTCTTTCAGACTTTTTCCTCCCCGGAGAGCGGTGGGGGTACTTGAAATTTTCGGGGGCGGGGGTAAAATTTTCGGGGAGGGGGCGGACACTGGAAAAAGTATATAATTATATTTCGTTGAATGGGACGGTAGACATGTTTTTTTGGGGGGTGGGGTGGGGGTGGGGGGGGGGGGGTGGTGTGTGGGGTGGGGTGCGGGGGTGGGGGGTGGTGTGTGTGTGTGGGGGGGTGGGTTGGTTTTAGTTTAGAGAAAAGAGACAGCACTATCAACCTAGCGCCCGGTGTATCCTTCCTCAACGGGCCATTTTTCTCGTAACATAATAATAATGCACTAAAAAGAGAAAATAAATGATTTTCCTTAAATATATTATTATTATACACCCCTATTTAAATAACTATAAAGAAAACCATGGGCCGCTTCATAATTTCTAGTAAAATTAGTAAAGTTCCTTTCGCAAATCTGATTGTGCATGAGGCAAGTCGAGTCCACCTGGGGTGTGGCCTAGTGATAGAGTGCTAGACTGCTAACCCAAAAATCTCAAGTTTGAATCCAGGTATCTAACTCATGCTAGGGAAAGTAAAGGCGGCTGGGCATTGTGTTGGCCACACTATCTTCATATGTCATGGTAATAGAAACAGGTGAAATTAGTATATTTGCATTCAAATTTTTTCTAATTACATCAGGTTTTTATCAATATATACTTTTCTTCACCAGACTTTAAAAATGTCTTTCAAGTAGAAGCAATCTTAATGTTTTCCATAACATTTCAGGTTTAATGTCATTAAAGATTGGTATCAATTGACAGGAAATGAACGCTATGTCATGAACTGGTCTATAGCTCAGTGTGTTCTTATTGTTGCAGCTTCTGTCACACAGGTATAGTAAGTCACTACTGTTTAACTTGACACTTTATCTTACACAGTTACACCTACCCATCACATCTGACATAATAGTTCAGCTAGCTTATAAATACTTTTCACTCATTTACTTTATCTATGTAATAACATTTCAATTGTTATTTCAGATATTAATAGCTATTTTTGAAAAGCTGCTGGAAATTTATTAACTAATATCACTATCTTTCACGATTTTTTAAAGAATAAAATCTTCCATTATTATTGTAAATGACTAATCCTAATGATTCTCTTTATTTAGGTTTATTCTGTTCGACGCTTGTTTAAAACCTCAAATGTTACCCCAACGACTGCCAAGCCAAGGGCATAAACTCAAATCCACCAGGAAAGTGAAATCTTTACAAGTTGAAAAAGAAATTTCTTGTTGAATACGCCACTGTTAATTAGCAAAACATTTTAATTACTTTTGTGTTTAGATGTTTTGAATATATAAAAACCACCTGTAATCTCTGATTTAGCTACTAATTCTAATTTTAAAATTACCATATTGATTGACTTTAAAAAGGTTCAGTATGTATTTCCGGCCTTGCAAATGATCAAACTAAAATTTATTTACATTATTATGTTTAAAAAAAAAAGTTTTAAAATGACCAGAAATCAAAATATGTTGTATTAGAAGTAAAAGACTCAAGTTATGGAAGCTGAAGTCAAATGTAAATCTCTATTTTAGTCTATGGACATATTTCTTTTATATTTGGTGAAGGGGTACCTTTTCAAAAAATCAGAAGCTACATTTCAAATCAAATTGTAAATAAAATGCTTCACGTCTCTGGTGTTAAATTAAATTTTAAATAAACCATGACATTTTCCCCCCATTATTTTGAACTATGATTTTATGATCTCGATAGAGACAGCGGTTTAAAATTTAAAAGCAATAACTGAAAAATAAATGTTTTAGAGT